ACACTTGTCATCATCCATTCTTTGCACACCAGAACAGCCTTTTCAAAGTGAAAACTGGAATAGACCTCTCCCTCTTTAGACTCCCCTCAATGATGTTTTTTGGGGGGCTTTTTGAGACAAGTCTCATGCAGCCTAGACTGCCTTAAACTCACCATGTAGCTGAGAATGGCCTTGAACTCCTGATCCTCCTGCTTCTGCCTTCCCAATGCTAGGATTATGAGCATTTCCACCACACATGGCTTAGGTATTTGTGGTGATATATTGTATACCCTAATAAACTTCCCTGAGGATCAGAGAACAGAGCTAGCCACTAGATTAGACATAGAGATCAGGCATACACCCTCAATCCTATCTCTCGGGAGCCAGAGATTCATCTGGATCTCTGTGAGTTCAAGGCCACACTGGAAACAGCCAGGCAGTGGTGGCACACACTTTTAATCCCAGCACTGGGAAGCACACACTCCTTTAATCCCAGGAAGTAATATGGTAGGGCAGAGAAAGATAGATAAGGCGTGAGGAAACAGGAACTCTCTCTCTTTAGGCTAAGGATTTTGTAGAGGTCAGAACTAGTGGCTGGCTGTTCTGCTTCTCTGATCTTTCAGCTTTCACCCTGATATCTGGCTCTGGGTTGTTTTATTAAAAGACCATCTAAGATTCAAACAACAGGTACTTCTTTACAAATATTTTTTTAACTCCTGTTTATTAGAGTGTGTGTGTGTGTGTGTGTGTGTGTGTGTGTGAATGCATGAATGCCACAGTGTGCCTGTGCTGGTCAGAGAATAACTTCTAGTCAGTCTTCTGTTCCCACCACTAGGTTGACCGCAGATCCTCGGGTTTGTGTGGCCTTTACCCAATAAGCCAACTCACTGGCTCTAAATACTTCCTTCTGCGCTTAGAATAAAATCTGGGAAGGAAGGGCAATGCTGCCCGACTCTGAGCCTTCCCCCTCCCCAACCTCAACTGGACCACCCTCTTTGATAGCCTTTCACTTCATTAGGAACAAAGCTCTCCCCTCCCTCACAGCCTCTGTCGTTTCGGCTCCCTCTTCACAACCCTCCACCAAAGGTGGGGAGCTTGTTCACCATCCGTACCCACATGCGAGGTAGGGCTGACTCTCCACGCAGTGTAAATGAGTGATTGATGAGTAAGTGGGCGGGTCAAAATGCAGATGCGTGGAGAGGGAAACAGACCAGCTGGCACTGGACTAACTGTTGGAGGTCCTGAGCATTACCTGGCAGCTGGAATGCAGACTCTTCAAATACATTTCCTCCAGACTTCGTCATCACTCTATGAAGATGACAAAGGGGAAATTCAAAGAGATGAGACACTTGCCCAAGCCCACTGAGCAAACAGCAGAGTCACCACAGGCCACGTTCAGACCAGAACTTATCCCTGAGAGCACAGTCCAGTGTCTGCCTCAGGCAAGCTGACAGGCACTCGGCCTTCGTCAAACAGACCAGCTCTGCTACAGTATACCTGTGAGGATGCCAAAGGTTTTTCACAGCTCAGGAGGAGAACTTCCTGGGAATCAGTGTCATCAAGAGCAACCCTGCTCTAGAGAAGGAACTATAGATGCTGAAGGTAGTTAAAGACTCAACTCCACCAGGTCCTGCTCAGCCTGGGGGCTCCCTGGGACCTTCAGACTACTTCCAGCCTGCCTGCCTAACCAACCCCAAGGGAAAAGGAAGTCCCATCTCTACTGGCCAGAGGCCAGAGTAGCTCACAAAGGTACCACACCTGGGCAGCAGCCTCACCCTCAACCCCCACAATTCAGACTTGAGCTTCCAACACTGAGAAGATTGTATGAGGCGCTACAAGCTGACCGTGAGTGCCTTGCCCACAACAGATTCCCAGGTTTGCTCTGAGAGCTGGGAACTGAGCGTCCTGACAAGGACTACAATGTTCTCGTCTCTCTTCTGAGCAGTCTGTCCAAGACAGCTGTCTAAACCAGCTACAGATCACACCACTAGGTACTGCAAAGGAGCTTGCCACCAGGGAGGTACGGTGGAGAGAAAAGACGACATGTGCTGTGGAGTTTCAGGGTCTCAGAGAGGGGGTGATCGGCAGGGTGGGGAAGAGGGACTCTTGTACTCCTGGGCCAGCTGCAGTGTCACATGTGCCTATAATTGCAGCATTTGGGAAACGGAGGCAGGAGGACTGAAAATTCAAAGCCACCGAATGCTACATAGACAGACTATTAAAGAGGAGGAGAAAAGGTCAGGCGTGAAGAGGAGGAGGAGGAGAGAATGTTCTAGCCCAGCTCCCCGCCCTAGGAGCCTAAAGAAAAGAACCTAATGTATACTGAAGGACTAACACACCCTTTAACTCATTATAACAACTCTCCAGGCTCTTTCCACCTCACAGGGAAAGAAACAGAAAGAGAAGCACGAGAGGCTTGCCTGGGGATCCACTTGTCTCAGACAACCCAAATCTACGCTCGCAGCCCTAACACACTGTGTTCTCAGGTGAGAGGCTGGCTCCAGTCTCTGCAGACAACAGAATGTCATTCAGGAGACAGAGGCAAGGGAGTCACAAGCTCTGGGCAAGCCTGAACGAAACAGTGAGGCTCTGTCTGCAAAAGAGGAAAGGACATAAAGGAAAGAAGGAAAGAGCCAGGTTTGCTGGTGCATGCATGTAATCCTAGGACTCAGGAGGTGGAGGCAGGAAAACCAGGGGTTCAAGGCCAGCCTTGGCTATACAGAGTATTGGAGTCCAACCTGGGCTACCTGAGACTCTGTCTCAGAACAAAAGTAAAGTAATAAATGATCTCATTTCAGAAAATAAGCCACCCAAGAAAAAAATGTATCAAAAATATTTTAAATCTATAAAACACCCTAAAGTCTGAGCAACAGGCAGACATAAGGTTGCATATTATATTTAGGTTAGTTCTCTAAAAGCCAATGTATACATCTAACATCACTCCCAGAAAAGGAGTTTGGAGAATGAAGAGACACAGGAAATGTGATCATGAGAATACTGGGAAGTATAAACAAGCACAAGTAGCCATGAAAAATCTAAACTAGTAGGAAAACAACTAGTTCCACACAGACACCACCAACAACTTCTTTTTTTCTTTTTCTTTTTTTGTTTGTTTGTTTGTTTGTTTGTTTGTTTGGTTGGTTGGTTGGTTGGTTGGTTGGTTGGTTTTCCAAGACAGGGTTTCTCTGTGTGTGCCCCTGGTTGTCCTGGAAATCACTGTAGACCAGGCTGGCCTTGCCCTCACAGAGATCCACCTGCTTCTTCCTCCCAAGTGCTGGGATTAAAGGTGTGCGCTGCCCCGCCACCGCCGCCGCCGCCACCACCACCACCACCCAGTGACACCACCAACTCCTAATAACTTTGAGTGACTCGTGAAGGACTGGTCAAGGAAGCATGGCCACAGCAGAAATGTGTCATCTTTCCACTCCCACTGCCACCTCCCTGGTGTCAAAGGTCGCTATCTTCCACTGGCTTTATCCTCCCGTCTCTGTCCCTAGTCTTACACGTGACTTGTCCTCTGAGGATCTCTACAAAGGATTCTCTCTTCCATATCCAGCCACACCCTTCCCTTGGTTGGTTTTAACTCCTTCTCCCAGCTGCAGCTTAAATACCACTACCCTAGACATACTTTCCTTAAGCCCCCAACCCAATGTGTGTGCCCATTATTCTCTCAGCATCCTTTATTGCTTCTTTGTTATCCTTATCACAATTCAAAATCATGTATTTATTTGCATGCTTTGTCCAGGACAGTGTACCCAGTGTACATCACTGGATGTAGCAAACAATAAACATCCAATAGATGTTTGTGGGGAAAAGATAAAATATATAAGTAGAGAAGTAGGTCACGATGACCCCGTAAGAGGAAGAAGGAGTCTCTTTCCGAAGCCTCCCTAACACTGCAGAATAAAAGAAAATCTGCCTCAACTATTAACAAGACACTAGCCCGCATGTGTGCAGAGAGAGCAGAAAGTCTCAGAAGCAGGTGAATAGGAGAGTGTATGCTGTCTTCTGCAGACATCAAGATTCTATTCTGCTGTCTCTGTATAGGTTCTTGGGGTACATTTTAGTAGAGAATCTCTCAACTAACGTGGGGATTGGGGATTAGTCAGCAACTTCCTACTCGGCCTCCACAGGAGAATATGTGGCATGGCCTCCTGGCATCCTGCTCCACTCGGCTAGGACTAATCCAACAAGTACTCGTGTCTTGGGTACTCTGGATGTCTTTGTTCAGTTCTCAGAAAAGAGCTGGCATTTGTATTGTTTCTCAAAGTAAACTAAAACCAGTTATCAGGGAATGATTTAGTACCCTGGCAGCAGACAGTGTGTGTATGTTTGACAAAGGAGCAAGTTAATCTGCCCATGGAGCATGAAGAGTGGGACTTACCCAGCTTCTGTATGAAGAGTGGGACTACACATCTCTTGTTGCAGCCAAATGTACAGCATCTCTTTGCGCTGGACATGCCTTATGTGTGGTACACGTGTTAGAACAGAATGGTCTCTGAATAACTTTGGGACTACCTCTTTTCCTCTCTGTTTCAAAAACAGACACACAGGAGCTGGAGAGATGGCTCATGGGTAAGAGCACTTACTATTCCTATAGAGGACCTGGGTTTAGTTCCCAGATTGTCTGTAACTCCAGTTCCAGGGGATCTGGTGCCCTCTTCTGGCCTATGAGGGTACCCACACACCTGTGGTGCATATAAACTTGAACAAGCACACACACACACACACAGATTAAAATAATACGTTTTTTAAAAGGCCTAAGTTGGGGAGATAATTCAGTCAATAAAGTGCTTTCTGAACAAGCATGAAGAACTGAGTTTGAGGACCTGAGTTTAGATCCCCAGCACTCGAAATAAAAAAATACAGCACTTGGGAGGCAGAGGCAGGAGGATCTCTGTGAGTTCAAGGCCAGTCTGGTTTACAAATAGAGTTCTAAGACAGCCAGAGCTGTAACACAGAGAAACCCTGTCTCAACAACAACAATAATAATAATAATAATAATTTTTAAAATAACAAAGCAGGCTGATGGGATGGCACAGTAGGTAAAGGCACTTGCCAAAAGCCTGAAGGCCTGAATCTGATCCTCAAGTCCCACATAGTGGAAGGAAAGAACCAATCCCCACAGGCTGTTGTCTGACCTACATATGCATGCCCTAGATGGTGCACACACACTAAATAAAAAAGCAAATAAAGTTTTTAATTTTTTTTAAAGAGGGGAAAGAAGTTGAGACCAATTACCCTTCAAAATGAGCTCCATTGGGAAGGAACACCTAGGACCATGGAGGCCATGATCAGGCCTTGGGATGGGAGTGGGAGGGGTAAGAAGGACAGCTTAAAGTAAAAAACAAGACAAGACAGCTGTGGTTAACAGCATGCAGGGAGGAGGAGGGCTCTTCAGAGAAACCTCTTGGTTTTAGAAGTGTTTCCAGGAGTGGGGAGCCTGGCCACAACTCAAAGCCAGTTTCGGGGAAGGCATCAGAGCTGTTTACAGAAACAAGGAGGAACATTTGTATACAAGTCCTTGCTGTACCAAAAGGAGGTAGGGAGCAGAGCCACAGGGGAGACGTGGCCTGCTCTCTGCGAGAAAAGCAGCTAGAGGCTTTGTGAGCTAACACCTGTAATCCCAGTACTTGGAAAGAGGGGGCAGGAAGACTGCAGGTTCCAGGCTATCCTGAGCTACACAGAAAGATCCTGACTTTAGAAGAAGAATAAGAAAAAAGAAGGCCAGGCATGGTGGCACACACTTGCAATCCCAGCACTCGGGAGGCAAAAGCGGGAGGATCCTGAGTATGAAATCAGAATGAGCTACATAGCGAGATCCTGAACTACATCCCTGAGTCCTTAGTGCCTTTTTTAAAATTATTATTATTTTAGGGGAGGCACATGGAGCTCAGAGGACAGCTTTGTGGAATGGGTTCTCTCTTTTCACCTTTGCACAGATTCTGGGGATGGAACTCAGTCTTTGGGTTTGCAGATGAGGCAGGAAGCACCTTTACCTGCTGAGCCATCTCACCGACCCACCTTCCCAGGATGTCTTAACCACTATCTTAAGCGGGCTTTCCTTCACAAAAGTGCTTGTCCAAAGTAAAAGACATGGATCATCAAGGCGGCTCTCTTTCCCAATAGGAGAGAGCTGAGGTACGGAATGGACAGAGACTGCGAAGGGGGAAGGGGTGACCTACATCGCTAGGTGTCTGGAGACTATCTAGAACGTGGGAAGCTCTCTGGTTCTATCCATCCAAGAGATAAGTCCGAGAACACACTGGGATCTTGCCCCTCATGACAACATACCCCTGTGAGGTCTGCTTGGTGAGCCTTGGCACACACAGCCTGTGCTGTGGCACTTCTGCCCAGCAGGACATGACCTATCAAGTTGGCACAGATATTTGCATGGGTTCCGATCAGGAAGGCACTGTCCCTCTTTCACTGAAAGAGATTTCATATGAAACTGAGATAATTGGCCAGGCCTGAGGAGATGGGGTCAGCCTCTACCAGTGGAGGCTGAAGAAATGAAGAGGTGGCTCACTGTTAAGAACACTTAATGTT